TCCATCGAGATTTCTCCTTCGTGTTCGACATTTTCTAAAAAATACTACAATTTCGAGATTGCAATTGCAACTGGAGCGTAAAGAAATTTGATCGAAGGTGAAAACACGAAGGAAGAATAAAAAAAAAAAAGTGAGCGATACGTAAAATTTTCCACGATACACTGCACAGTTCTAAATGTCATGAATGAAAGGTATTACGAATCGATGATTATCAAGAGACTATCTGCATGCGACCATGATGAATTGCACGAAGGGGGTGTGATGAATGCATCAGAACGTCAGCTTTAGTGTGGTCTTAGGACTAGGCCGAATCGATAACAATAACTACATGGAGTAACCACCACGTCCATCTCGTAACGAAGAAGAAGGAGAAGAATAAGAAGCAAGTAGCAGCAGTTGGTGTATTAAACGAGGATCAACATGTATATACCGCAAGTGATGCGATCAAAACCTACACGTCTCACGATTATCTGATTATCTAATTACCGGTATATATCTCAGCTTCCTTGCCATAACACACACTTCCACCGAGCATAAACCGAGATCCTTCTACGGTACCAAGTATCGCGATACAAACTTCAGAAAAAATTCTGTCTCGTGACGTCTGAAACCAAAAGTGTATTTACGAAGGAGGAGCTTGCACTGGGTAAGTGCTCTGGCGGAATATCCAAGCAAAAGGCGCGAGTGACAACGAGAAGAAGCAACAGAGAGGAAGAGAGAGAGAGAGAGAGAGAGAAGAATGACAGACGCGAAAGGAGCTAACGTACAAGTAGCGAGGCTTCTGTTGGACAGAAACGCAGCTACGACGAGCAACGAGGAACGAAAGAACGCTCGGCTAGAGCGTGGAACGAGGAGGCATAGAAACGTCGAGGGAGGGATGGAGACAGAGGGAGGCAGACGTGAGTGCGCCGACTCAGTAGCCGCGTGTTCGGTGCGGCCGTAGGGTTTCGCGGCCAAGCGGTGCCGAGCGTCGCACAGTCGCGACGGCAGCCACCGGCGCGCGGTACCCCTTTTTCTTTAAACCACACTCTTCAATTCCGCACAGTTCAAGCGCACGTTTTTCCTGCGTCTCGACACCACGACCACGGCAACCGCCACAAGGATAAAGACGAGGGACGTGGACGAACACGAGGCTGGTCAGCTCGCGAGAGGGCGCCTTTCGTCGTTACCACCACTACCACCACCGTCACTATATACCACCACTAGAACAACAACAACAACAACAACAACAACAACAACAACCACCACCACCCTTCGACACCCTCCCTCAGAAAAAATACAGCTCCGCTAATCGAGGATATCGCCGCGCGTATCGTCCTTGCTTAATTCACCGGCCCACAAGTATAATAGAGACAGAAAAGCTACCGTCGTCGTCGTATTAATACAACGTTTGGTTGCCCCGTGGAGCGCGCGCGAAAAGGAAAGAGAGTTGAACAGAACGATCAGAGAACACACGACGCAGATCTCTCCCCTAAAGGAGAGAGACACGTGGCGCGCGGCACGCGGAGGTGTTCAACCACGACAGAGAGTAAACCGGTGTGGAGAGACTCGCGGATAAAATAGATAGAGGAGTAGATAATAGATAATAGGAGTGAAAGAAGGGTGAAAGAGAGAGAGAGAGAGAGAGATACAGAGAGAGCGGGAAACGCGAAAGAGGAGGAGAAAGAGGTGAAAAAGGGGGGGGTGAAGAGGTGCAGCCGGGCCGGGGGCTAGAAGAAGAGAAGGGGCAGGCGGAGAAAGGTAGAGAGGTGGCAGAGGGACAGAGGACGAGAGGGGGTGGGAGGGAGAGGACGGACAGGGAGGAAAAGTACGAATCACCAGGACGAAGACTGTGGAAGATAGAGGAGAAACGGGAAACGGGTCTTGTGTCTTCGTTTCGTTTCTTCGGGATATACGTTTACGAAGAGAAGGACGGAGGAACAAGCGACAGCCACGAGCGAGAGGACGAGGAGGAAGCGGGACATGCTGGAACCACACTGGAGACCCGTCCAGGTAGAGACACCAACCACCTTACTCTTCACCCCCTGCAACACTTCACTTCCGTCTTCACTTCTTCTCACTGTGCACTGCTTGTATAATGACACCCTGCTGATGCCTGCCTGCCTGCCTGCCTGTCTGCCTACCTGCCTCACTGTCAATGATCAAATCTACGATCGTATCTCTGCGTCACGCGTGTCTCTTTCTCTCCCCTCTTTCACTCACTCTCTCTCTCTCTATCTTTCTCTTTCTCTCTCTTTTGTGTTCGTGGTTTAAGTCTACACGTCTCTTTGTCTCATCACTCTCTTCTCTGCCGCTTGCTTCATTCACCTCGTTCTTTGCGTTGCTCTTACTCAATGATGATCGCCACGTGCCATCGACCAAGTCCCTTTTGCCACGCTGTCGTTAACAGAGGACCCACGCACACCGCGTGCGTTGTTTTCTTCTTTCTTTTCTTTTTTTCCAATCATTTGCATCTATCGCTTCCATCGCTCATTGGTGTGCGTGTCGCTTT